CCCCTTCAGTACCAGGGATTGAACTCAGGACTCTGCACTTGCTAGGCAAGCACTTATTCTACTAAGCTATCTTCCAGCCCTTGTAATAATTAATCTTAAACCTAGTGTTTGTAATAACGAATATTTTATATGTAGTTCTAAAATATGCCACATGCCATTCACAGTATTCTAGAAACTAGAATTAAAGTACTAGGACACAGTACTCTCATGGGTCCCTTGTTTGTGCTCGGTTTTATAGGGCATGGACTGCATGCTGAACATGTTCAAAGTGCTAAAGAAATGAGAATGGTGAGTAAGACATGCTGTCCACTGTCTGTAATCTGAGCCACATAGGTGCTTTTCTAGACAGAAAGGGAGCTGTGGCAGGTCACCATAGGCACAGGTGGCTCTATGATAGGGTGGAACAGAAAGGAAAGATGAAAAGGTGACCCTTGAACCGAGTACAGCTGCCCCTTTGTATCCTAAGGGAATGGTTCCAGGATCCTCTGTAGATGCCACAATTCAGGAATGTTTTAAGTTCCATGTGATAAAATGGTATGGGGCTTGCACAAAATAACATACATCCTCCTACAGATTTCAAATCAACCACAGATTACCTGTAATACCTAACGCATGGCCAGCTGCCGCGGTGTATGCACGCAATCCCAGCACTTGGAAGGCTGAGCTAGGAGAATCGCTATGATTTCAAGGCAACCTGAACTACATAGTGAGATCCTGTCTCAAACAAACAAACAAACAAACAAACAAACAAACAAACAAACATAAGCAAATATACCTATTGCAATGTACATGCAATGTAAGTAAGTTGTTATATCATATTTTTTTAAGCAAATAAGTGCAAGAAAATGTCTGTGTATGTTCAATACAGACACAACCTTCTTCCTAAATATTTTTAATCTGCAGCTGATTAAAGCTTGCAGATGTGGAACTTGTGGACGTGAGGGGCTGGTTGTTCAATGAAAGGATTTTATTGACTACAGCAATGGAAGGATATTCTGGGCAAGAGCAGCACTGTGAGTAAAGGTCACTGAGTGAAGGACATGGGTTAAAATCATGTGGGCAGTCTGGGAAACTGAAAGCCCAAAATAGGCAGGACAGAGGGGACCTCAGAAGGTCACCAGCAGGTGGCTGGGTGTTGTGGGTGGGTGAGTGCTAGAGAAAGAAGAGGTGAGAAGTGAAAATAGGAGTCTGGAGGAGTGGGCAAGATCAGACCACAAGGAGCTTGTCCATGACATTAAGAAGGGGAGACTTTCCCCTCTGAGTCCAGGATGGATGGGAGAGTTATAAGCTAGACAGGGACACATTTGTTTTTACATTTTAGCAAGTGCAATCTTTATGTTCCAAAGAGTTTTTCATGATTAGGAAAATCTCCTTGACAGAATAGCAAAGGAAAAGAGAACTTAAGTTCTAAATATTCTGTGATTACATTATTCGTAAAACCGTCTGAAAGAAAATACATCAAAATTCAACACTGAATATGTCTAGATGCTGATGAATTACGTTTCTACTCTTGTCATTTTCTTAATTTTTCTTGAATGACTGTATATTGCTTTTACTAGAAAAGAGCGATTCAATTTTTTAAAGGGGTGGAGAGAAACATCTCTCTGGTAATCAGTAGAGAGCTAATTCTGGGAGGAACTAGTTGCTGAGAGTCCAGGAAGGGGATTTTAAGCATTAATCTTAGGTCGTGAATTCTGTAGAAGGAAGGTCCTATTTTGGATTTCAAAGGTGATGCAGAGTAGGATACCAGGAAGTAATTGAGTGTGGTGTGGAACTCCTGGGTAGAGAACGAAGCTGGTCTGATGGCTAGCTACACTAA